TCCGTTACCCTGGTTGTCAGAGAGAGAGAGATTTTTAGCAATACCTTAATGTGATGTTACAGGTGGGTTAAGAGGGAGATGTGCGCGAGCTGCGGGACCGCCGGGACGGCGGGCGGGTGATTGCGACGCGCCGCCACTTTTGGCGACTTTTGGTGCGGTCAACGCCGCAGCGCGCCATGTCTTTGGACAGCCGGGTGAGCGGGCGCCGGCAGCTAAGGTGCGCATAGTCTTTTTTTCTTTTCCAAAATAAGCACCAGCCGCGGTCCCGCACCCGTCGACGAAAGGCAGGCGCCATGTCTTTGTTTGCTTAGCCGGGCGGGCGGCGGCAGGCTAAGGTGCCTTGTTCACGCGCGCGCGAGACGTGCAGACAGGGTTGCCAGGTGAGAGCGAATGGCGCGGTTCACGCCTCGCACAACAGAGAGAGAGATGCGCTCTGCATGGTGGGACATAAAAGAGAGCGAGTACACTTGGGCGAGTAGGCCGTGCGGTCAACGCTGCCGCGCGCGCGGCTTTTTGTTTGTTGAATTAGTGACTTCCTTGAGCACTTGAGCACTGGATAGGGCCGATTCCGCGTGGTACGGGACCCCTCGATCGTCTCGCCCTCCCTCACTGGTATGTTCATTGGGGGGGGTCATAACAAACACGGTACAGGATCGAGGTGCACGCTGCCGAAGCAGTGTCGTCCCCCCTCTCCCCGACGGCGATGGCGGTGTGACCGATCGAGCTACAAGAGGAGCTTGTTCAGCAGGATCCGGGATAGTCTGACGCACTGCCTCACTGGGTCTGAGATCATCGAGACGCTTCCCATCACCGTCTCGTGACTTCCTTCACTCAAAAAGCACGATTCTCAAGTTGGGCCCTCGGCTTGCCGAGAGGGAGGGTCAGGGCGACGGAGGCGAGGGATGAAAGCTGCGGAAGAAGACACCCAGCCAGGGGGTCTAGGACACGGTAGGTCGATAGCTGATAGCGACGAGGTTTCCCGTTGTTTTTCTTTTCTGGCGCGTCACAGGGCACCCAACTTCACACAAGGCAGAGAGCCTGCTATCGTAGCCACCCACCGCCCTTTGCTGCGCGGCGGCCGTCAGCCTCTCGCGCCTCTCCCAGCCAGACCGCCGCGCCGCGCGCCTGTGCCGCGCGTGGTCACCCCGTGAGCTGCCCTGTTCACGCGCGCGCGAGACGTGCAGTGTCAACAGTTGTGAGTATTTGGCGCCGACAACATGGCCTCCCACCGCATCGGCGCCCGCGTCTCGGGCCTCTCGCCAGAGCAGCTGTGCGCCATCATTGAGGCGCAGGCGGGCGCGAGCGACGCCGCGCTGCGCGTGGCGGAGGAGCACGCCGCACGGCTCGTGGAGCAGCCCGAGTGGGTCCTCTCCGAGGTCCTCCTCTCGCCGGACCTCGCCCCGCACATCCTCGCCCAGCTGCCGACCAAGGCACACGCCGCCAAGGGGACGTGCCGCGCGTGGCGCCGCGGCTGGAAGGAGACGCTGAAGAAGCGCGAGAGGCCGCCGCGCCTGGCCGTGATCGGCGGCCACGACAGCAACGACGAGCCTGTCAACTCGATGGAGCGGTACGACCCGTCAACGAATGAGTGGGAGGAGGAGGCTGTGGCGCCAATGCCCCGGGGGGGGGGGGGGGGGCGACGGCACGAAGGGATGCCGGCATGGCGGTGCTCGATGGCAAGCTCTACGCGGTGGGCGGCCAGGATGAGGCCGACGGCGCAACTTTCAATCTGGTGGAGCGGTACGACTTGGCTGTGAACGCATGGGAGGCGGTGGCTCCGATGGCGACGGAGCGGAGTAACCATGGCGTGGCGGCGCTCGAAGGCAAGCTGTACGCTGTGGGAGGCGAGAACGACGGCCGCCTCAGCTCGGTGGAGCGGTACGACCCGGCGTTGAACGCGTGGGAGGCGGTGGCGCCGATGGGGTCGGCGCGTCAGAATCCCGGCGTGGCTGCGCTCGACGGCAAGCTTTACGCTGTGGGCGGGTACAACGGCGACGGCTACCTCAGCTCGGTCGAGCGGTACGACCCGGCGACGAACGCGTGGGAGGCGGTGGCGCAAATGGCGACGGTTCGGTGTAATTTCGCCACGGCAGTGCTCGACGGCAAGCTGTACGCTGTGGGCGGCTTCAACCACGACTACCTCAGCTCGGTCGAGCGGTACGACCCGGCACTGGATGCGTGGGCGGCGGTGGCGCCGATGGGGACGGCGCGTATTACTCACGCAGTGGCGGTGCTCGACGGCAAGCTGTATGCGGTGGGCGGACAGGATGACGGCTACAGCCTCCTCAGCTCGGTGGAGCGGTACGACTTGGCGACGAATGCGTGGGAGGCGGTGGTGCCGATTGCGACGGCGCGAAGCGCTTCTTTCGCAGTCTGGATGTAGTGGAGTGGGCTTATCTGGGAGAGGCCAACCTACCTACCCATCTAGGAGCGCGCCTAAATAAATAAATAAAAACGGACACCTCTCTACTGTGAGATGGGTAAAAAGGAACAGGCCCCCGCCCTTGCGATCTTTGTGCAGGGTTCTTTGTGGATGTGGTCGGCGACTAGCCGGGGTCGTCCTCCCGGTGGGGGACTTCGGACTAGCACTAGCCGTCTTCCACATGGTCCCTCGGGTCCCTGCTGCTCCTAATCTCTTCGTACATCCTCCTGCTGATCTCCGCAAAGTCCTGCTCCCTCCCTCGTCTCGCCCTGCGCGTCTGCTCCGCCTCACCGTCTTCTGCCCTGCGTCGTCTGGCGACGGGTCCTCCATAGTCGGTCGAGGTCGCCGCCCTCCTCGTGCCTCTTCCCAACGTTCCCTCGGCGGCCGATGCCGTCTGCTCCGGCTCCCCAGTCCCCGGGTCTCCCCTGCTCTCGTCTGCGCTAGTTTCTGCTTCGTCCTCACCGGCGTCTCTCCTCTTCCCTCTCCCCTTCTTGTATGCTTTGCACATCGCGTCGATTCCTGTTCGCGTGAGCACCAGCCTGAAGCCCGCCCAGCAGCTGAACCGCTCCCTAAGTCGAAGGAGCATCATCAGTCTCACCCACTTCGCTCTCTGCCCACCGTCTCCGCTCCCTCCCGCTTGAGCCGCCGTCGCGGCCCTCGTTCGTCCCACTGGCTGTTGGCCTGTTCCCACGTTACCTCCATTATCCCTCCTCCTCCGCGACTCCCTCAAGGCTGGCCGGGCCTCCTTCCACCCAGCGAAGAGCTTCCTCAGCCACTCGATGTGTTCCTCTCTCTTCATTATGCGCGCCGTAGCCTCATCATTGAGCTGGATCCACCTCTGCACCGCTCCCGTCGCCGCCTCGGCCACGACTTGCAAGTTCCTCGTGACCCCGGCGCCAAGGTCCCTCCGACTCTTCTCCGAGAGGTCATCTACCAGTGCTGGCAGCACCCCCCCGACGGCTGGTGCTAGTGCATCGTACCCGTCCTCATCCAGCACCCTATAGCGTGAGCCCTTCAGCGCAGCGACATGCGCTATTCTCAGCGTCTTCAGCGTATCCTTGGAGTCGGGTGCCGCCTGCGCTACTTTGCTGATCGCCGTCCCCGTCTGCGCTCGCGCTACTCTGAGGAACCATCTGGCCTGCTCCCTATTCCCCGGGCAGGCGCCGCTAAGCAAGTGCGCCATTGTCGCTCTAGGCGGGTTCTCATCTTCCTCGGTCCATTGCTGCGCGGCTTTCCGCACGATCGGGCACAGCGGGTCCCGCTTTAGTGCCGCCCTCCTCGCCGCGTCCCTCGCGGCCTTACATACGAGGCAGCCCCTGAGTTCGCTCCTCGTGGCGGCGCCCGGGGTCTCTCTCCCCGCCTCTCCCCGCATGATCCTCTCGTGGTGCGCTCCGTGTGGCACCCCCGCCTGCTGCCGCACCCGCGCTCCCATGACGGTCTTTGTCACCACGTTGTGATCATCCACGTCGGCGAATTGTATCTCACGCTCGCCGTGCTGATCCTTGATCCGCTGACGCTTGTCCCATTTGTGTCTCGTCGTTCCCCTGACCACATCGCTCCACAGCGGCCCAGGCACCCCCGCCGTGTGCGACCCCGCCGTGAGCCCCTCGCCGAGCCGTCCTCGCACCCACTCGTTCGTGTGGCCGCGTGTGGCGTAATAGGTCCTCCGGTCCAGTACGTCTCCCCTCCACTCTCCGCCTGCCGTCCTCCGGCGGTCCGTGTATAGGCACGGGCGTGTCCTCACTGCTCCTCGGATGACGGAGGTGGCATCCTCAATCTCGCTGGCCCCCATGTATGCAGTCGCCGCGGCGTCGGCGTAGGCGTTGCTAGCGCACCCCGCGTGGCTCGGTACCCACAGGAACGTGACAGATTCGAGCTGGGCGCGATATCGGCATATCCCCTCTAACATCCCTTCCCACTCCCTGAGCCCCTCAAGAGGGCCTCTTCGGTACGCCGCCTCGATTTGCTGTAGCGCGGGCTTGCAGTCGCTCAAGACGAGGCACCTCCTGTCCGCCGCATCTTCCGACGTCGCCATCTTACGCAGGTAAGCCAGCACCGCGTACATTTCCGCGTCTATCACTAGGAGCGCGCCTACCCAGGTCGGGCCATGGAAAAAGAAAACAACGTGGCCAAAATGTGCACCCTAACACACACACAGACGCGCAGCCACGACGAGAGCCGCCCCTCGCCGACGATGAAGAGGCTGTGCCGCTCGCCTGCCGCCGCCCTCGCCGGCGGGTTGGACTCGCGCAGCAACGCCGCAAAGCACAGCCACCGCACGGCGCAGCTCTCGCCCTCTGGCTGCGCCGGCAGCTCGAAGCCGCGCTTTGCGCCCACAAGCGGATGCCCTCTACCGCGAGCGAGCCGTGGAAGAGGAGCGAGATGGCCGCAGCGCGAGCGATGTCGGCGGGGTCGCAGCGAGAGAGGGCGCGCACGAGGAGGTCGGTGGGGAGGTCGAGGAGGCGGGCGGGCGGCGGCGTGCCTTGCGAGGGAGCGGCGGCGGCGGCCGGGGCGAGGCGGACGGCGCTATTTGGAGGACATTTCGAGAAAAAGAAATGTAGCAAGCGCTGCGGAAAAGCGCGCCGCCTCTCTCGGGTTCACTCCCGCCCACTGCCCCCGCCCTGCTGGTCTTGGAGACAGGGGAGCACTGCCAAACAGCAACTCGCGCACAGGCCCGCTCTCGAGATGGCTGCTGCGGCCGCCCTTCCCTCTGTTCAGGCGCTCCAGGCTGAAATCGCCGCGCTGCGCGCCGACCTGGTCAGCGTGAGCGACCAGCTCGCAGCGGCACAGGCGGCCGCCGTGGAGGGCCTCGCCGCGCAGGAGTCGTCCCGTCGCCCGGTGGTGATCTGCGTGGACCACGGCCTGTGCAACCGCCTTCGGGCTGTGCTGACGTACCGGCTGATGGCGCAGAACGACGGCCGCGAGCTGGTCGTCGTGTGGAAGGCCGACGCAGAGTGCAACGGCCACTTTCTCGACTGCTTCCAGCCGCTGCCGGGCGTGCGGTTCGTGCGCGAGGCGCCGTCCTGGGCGCCGACGCCGGACCTGGTCAACAACGCGCACCCCGAGGTTGGCATCGCAGACGAGATTCAGGCGTACGAGTGCCTAGCGCCCACCGCCGCCATCGCCGCGGCCGTGTCCGCGCGCGTGGGGCGGCTGTCGCCCTTTGTGGCGGTGCACGTGCGGCGGACGGACCTGCCGGGGTATCATGGGCGCCGCCTGACGATTCACGATTAATGACTCATTTTGAGTGGTTGATGTCTGATCGCAGGTACATGGGCGCCGCGTTCGCCGCCCGCGGCCAAACGAGCGACGCCGCCTTCGACGCCTTTCTCGGGCGGCACGCGGCGCACAACGTCCACGTCGCAACTTGCTGCGGTGCGACGCACCGCCGCTTCAGCTCCGTCTTCAGCCGGCGGGTGAGCGGCCTGCGGCCGCCCCAGTTTGCGGCTGGCTCGCTGCGGCAGACGGCGCTCTCCGACGCGGTGTGCGACCTCTTCACTTGTGCGGCGGCGGAGCACTTCCTGGGCTCGCACGCCTCTCGTCCGCTTCTCGGACCCCCCCCCCTTTCCGTGACCCTTCCCGGAGCTGTCCAGGCTCGCACGGCTCCTCCTTTTCGGACGCGATCGGACTGCTGCGCTCGCACAACCGGCGCGAGCGCGCGGCGAGGGCTGCGGGCGGCGCGGCGCTGAGGGCGGTGGAGAGCGCGGCGGCGAGCGCGGCAGAGAGCGCGGCAGAGAGCGCGGCAGAGAGCGGCGGCGGCGCCGCGCCTTGGGAAGCCTTTTACGTCAACCTCGACGCGCGAGATAGCCGAGATGTAGCCGAGGTACGGCCTTCTACGGCGAGGCGAACCTTCTCGGAACCTTCTCTGGGCCTTCTAGGCGCGCACCGACCGCCGCGAGCAGGTCGAGGCGACGCTGCGGCGAGGCGGGCTCGCAGCGACGCGTGTGTCTGCGCTGACGCCGGCCGACGAGGCGGTGCGCGGCTTGTCTCGCGGCGGAGCTTCGTCCACGAGCTGTCCCGAACGCCGTCTCGGGGCTCTCCCTTTCTCAGGTGCGGTCTGTGTCGCGGCGCAGTCCGGGCAGCGGCCTCGGCTTCCTCGCAAACGCGGCGTCGCACGAGTCCGTCTGGAGGTGCGACGCCGCTGCTCAGCCCGCCACGAGCCTTCTCGGAACCTTCCATCCACCTTCCATGCACCTTCCTGGAGGCGCGTCGCCGCTCGGCCGCCGTCTGCACCCCTCTCGCTCGTGTTTGAGGACGACGTGCTGCTGCACCGTGATTGGCAAGCGATGCTGCGGCGCACGATCGCCGCAGCCGAGGTGGCCGGCGGCGGGGGTGGCCTGTTGTGCTTAGTTTTCCCACGATATCATGAATGAGTTGGTGACACGTAGGAGGCCGACGGAGAGGTCGACGTCGCCTTGCTCGACGGGCTCTTCATCGTCGGCGAGGCGAGCGCGGAGTTGGGCTGGCGCGGAGCTCCTAGATGAGGGGCCCCGACCCGGACCCACGACCCGGGCTCCGACGAGCTACCCCTCGAGCGGGCACTGTACCCCGCCGCATCCCGCCGCATCGATTGTATTCGCATCCCGTGTATGCACGCGGCGCTCTGAACACACCGCACGAGACCGCAGTCGCATCCTGGCTTCGGTGTACTCACGCATCTTGGTTACTCACACCGCAGGCTCGGACCGGCGGTGGAGGGGCCGCACCGCGCCGTCGGCGTCGCGATGTCGTCGGCGTACGCGCTGTCAGCCGCGGCGGCGAGGTGGCTGCTGCAGCGGTGCGCGGAGCGTCCGGGCTCTGATCTCGGGTGATCTCGGGTGACCTCGGGTGACCTCGGGTGATCTCGGGTGATCTCGGGTGATCTCGGGTGACCTCTGGTGATCTCGCAGGTACGCGGAGCGTCCTGGCTCGTCGACGGAGGCGTACCTGATGCAGCTGCAGGAGGAGCGGCACCGCTGCTGGATCCACACGCCGCGGCCCGCACTGCAGCGCTGGGACGAGGTCTCCTCCGTCAGCGCGAGCTCGCCCGCGTTGATGCGGCGCTGGTACGAGGAGAACTACTTTGGGCGCTGGCCGAAGCGCTTGTATGAGGAGCCGTGCGAGCCGCAGGGCGATGCGGAAGACGCCTCGGCGTAGCATTGACGGCGGCGCGTTGTCGTGGCTCCTCTGCTGCTCTCGGGGGCCGCTCCACCTGCACTGCGATCGTCCTCATACGGTACAACGTCCGACGACCAACGCCCCGCCATGCCGCATCGCTGGTGCGCGGCCGCACACAAGCGGATATATTAATTTCAATTGGCGAGCGAGGATCGTCGACTTTTGGCCGGGGGGCGCCAAGGGACAGCTCGTGGATTAAAAGAGGAAGACAAACAAGATAAAATGCCGACTGGATACACACGCGCGCCCATGTGCCTTCACGCGGCCTCGGCCCTGTATATTGTCAATCCACGCCCGGCTCCCTGCTCCCGCTCCTCCCGCCGCCGACGTACGACAGGTCGTTGGCCTCGGCGTATCTCTCCATGAAGCGGATGAAACGCTGCCACTCCTGCGCCGAGGGGCGAGGGCCGTCGGGGCAAGGCGCGAGCCGGGTGGCGCCGCGCCGCAGGCAGAGCTGCCCGCAGGCGCGCCGCCGCCGGCTCGCTCCCCACACACCCTGTGACTGCTGCACCTGCACGCTCTTGAGCACGAGGATCGCAACCACACGGGTTGGCCGTCCACGCTCGAACTCGACATCCAGGTCGCGGGTGTGCAGCTCGCCCTCCTCGTCGCGCAGCCACAGCCCGGTGAGGAGCCCATTGTCCCAGACGTCATCGAGGCTGAGGACAGTCGCATTGTCAAACCGGAAGGTTGCCGTGCCGGTCGAGCCGTCACGCGAGCGGGTGAGCGCCACGTCTGGCACCGCCGCCTCGGGAGCGTCGTCCTTGCGGAATGCAAGTGTCGGGACGACGGAGCAGGCTGCTTCGGGGGAAGCGTCCTGCCGAAAGAGAAGCGTCGGATGGCGGCAGCGGGCGCTGCTGGGCAGCTGCAAGGCGAAGAGGGACGGGAGGAGGGCGAGAACGGCACGCTCTCTTTGGACGGTCATTGGCGCCACAAAGCTGCGGTGATCCTGCACGAAAAGCTGGTTGCGGCTCCCTGCCGCGTAGGGAGCTGTGACGGGGGAGATCGAAAGGGGGGAGAGACAGCAACTGTCAGAAGGCAGAGTGCGTTGGAGGAGGCGCTCGACCAGAGCGGAGGTTTGTCAGTGTCGTGAGCTCCCACCTCGGTCCTCGCACGACACTGGGTTCCAACTTTTTCCGGGGTATGGTATGGTAGCGGTAAACGGGTGGGGGTATGGTCCTGACCGCCCAAGACTAGCCCTACCATACCCCCAAGCAGGTCTGCCAGCAGGCGGGGGGTATGGTCTTGAGGCTGGGTTGGCCGATTCTACCATACCATACCCCGCAAAAAGTTGGAACCCTGGGCACGGGACTGGCGCGCACTGGCACTAACACAGGTACACTACGGGAGCGCCAGCGAGAAAGAAGAAAGATAAAAAGAAGTACGAGACGGCGGCGGAGCCGCGGTCGAAGAAGTACAAGAGGGGAAGGCGGGCTTCGCAGCCGACGCCTAACCGTCGGAAAGCGAACAGGAGGGAGGACCGGGAGGAGAGGGGAGCCCCTTCGGATGGGGGGTGGGGAGATCGGGCGGAGGGGCCCTGAGTGACGATGTCGGGTGAAAGAGTGTACGTCGTGCTTGTGTCTGGTGTTTACTAGCTCCGAGTAGAGGGGGCGTTCCGCCGCTAGGGGACACCCAAAGCGCAGAACTAACCCTCGGAGACCTGTGTTTACTTTACGGCCCTCTCCCTGCGAACGCGCACCCCCCCTAGCTAGGGGTCAGGGCTCTCTAGCCCGTAGCCCGATACCGATCATCCGGCTCGCTGGGTGCGCTTCTCAGCTCCCCGGCCCTGGATGTGAGGTTACTGACTGCACTCCAAGTGCTCCAAGTACGTGGTGACCTCCTGCTGCATCAGCGTGCGCAGCATGCTCCCTCGCCCGGTGCTGAGGCATGCTGGTGGGCGACTGGCGCCAGCTTCTCAGGGCTGCCCTCGGTGTTGGGCAGCATGTCGCAATACTCCTGTTGCGCTGACTGGCGCGCGGGGTGCGTCGTGCTGCGCGTGGAGCGAGAGGCTCGAGGCGGCGCGGCTGTCGGTCAACACCCTGCGGCAGCCCTGCGGCGCATGCGCGCCGTCAAGGCTGCTCGACAGGGCGGCTTGCATTGTGGCGAGCGAACGCGGTCGCCGTTACTCCAACTTTGGTCGGTTATAACCGGCGGAAGTTTGTTCCGGGGGTACGGCGCTCGTGGCTCGAAAAAGGCAATCGAACGAGAGACGTAAGTTTTCTTTTTCCCCCTCCCACCAGGCGTCTGTATTGCAATACCGAATGAATAAAATTGGTCGAGAGAGAAAGAAGAATTCTTAAGATACAAGCCTCTCTCACGACAAGGGCGCAGACTGGCGCGGACTGGCAAGTAAGAAGAAAATCGGGGCTGAACTCGGCACCAAAGGACGCGCGACACGCAAACAACAGCTGACACGCAATGCGTGTCCCGCTTCTGCTGGGCCTGCTCCACCGAGCCGCGCCCGCATCGTTCGAGTATGAGACCATCGGCCTCCCGCGCTGCTCCATGGCTGGTCCCGCCGGTGCACTACCCCCCTGCACCCACGCGCTTCGCAAGCCTGGCGATGGTGGCAAGGCCATGGGCGGCGGGCTCGGAAGGAACGGCCACTGCGCAGATTGGGTGAGGCCAGGCTCGCTGGACGTGGCGCAGCTGGCGGAGAGCCTCGCACGGAATCTAAGCTGGGACGATGACGCCTTGCCGCTCGTGCAGGAGGCCATGGCCGCCGCTCGTGACGAGGATGGTGCGCACGCCGTCGCCCCGAACCGGTCGACAGCCTTTGCACCGCGGTCGACGGGCGGCAGCCTCACCCCCGGCGGTTCGTCGCGGGACTCGATGGAGTTCTTACGGCGCTCCCTCCGCTGGCTAGCAGCGCGCCAGCCCGGGCAGCCGATCCGCTCCGTGGAGACTGGGTTTGCTCTCGGCTACTCTGCGCTCGCGGTGGTGGGCGCGGCGTGCAATGCCGGCATCCATCTCAAGCACAGCGCGATGGACCCGTACCAGGGCGCGGCGTGGCGCGGCGTCGGGCAGAAGAGGCTGCAGTCCCTCGTGGGCACGTGCGCCTCCGATGAGGTCAACTTCGAGCTCTTAGAGCTGCCAGCCTCGATTGGCCTCGCGCGGATGGTCGCTGGCGGCGAGTGAGGCCCCATTCGCCGGGGCCAACTTTCCCTCGACTGCAGCTTGAGGGGCCCGGCCTATTTGCAGGTGCGTTCAACTCGGGTACATGGATGACGGCCACAAGTTTGACGACAACATGGTCGAGCTCGCGCTCATCAACTCGATGATGCCGGCCGGCGGCATCCTCGTGATTGACGACACGCTGATGCCGTCGGTCGCCGCGACCATCTCGTACATCGAGGCGCGCGTCGTCGAGAGTGCGCGTTCCCCGCCCTCGATACCCTCATTTCGCGGTGCCGCACTCCAGGCGAACCTGCCCTACGAGCGCATCACCATCAACGAGCGTTTTGTCGCCTTTGTCAAGCATAGGAAGGACGTGCGCGCCTGGAATCACTACGGCCCGTTCGACGCCTCGTTCAACCGCTCGGACGGGGCGGGGCGGAAGCACATTGCATCGTCCCTTGGCGTGGCGCACAGGGGCTTGCGAGGCGCGGCGGTCTGACCTCGGCGTTGCCTCGGCGGCCGGCACCTCGACGATCTCTTCGTCTCTCTCTCTGAGGGTCTCTGGACTCTGCGCGTGGTCGCCGGCGGCGGAACGGCGGGGCCGCGGGGCGGCACGCCCCGACACGCGGCGCCAAGTTCAGCGTGTGACAGCCGATCACGTGCCCTGTGCATGTGCTCGCGCCCGCGGGTCGGTGTGTGTGTTACGCGCAACCTCTCTGCGCGCAACACACAGTTCAACCGTCACGTGAGAAGAGAAGAGAGAAACAATTTGCGAGACCAGCAAAAGAGCCGCGCGCCCAGAACGCTGTAGGAACTCTTCACGTAGAGCTGTGTATGTGGTTGCCATCGTTTCGCCTCTGTGGCAGGGGGATGGGGCAAGCCGACCGGTGGCGGAGGCTGGAGCACGCCAGCGGTGTGGCCAGAGAAGGCGGCGGACCCTCAAAGCGGTCAACTGAGCAATCGCACCTTCCAGAGCGGCCTCTGCGCAACCGCGGCGGCGGACCTCAGGAGAGCGCGAGGGAGGCGAACTTGACGGCGACCTTGATGCAGGGCGAGGGCACGCTCGGGTCGGTGACGAGGAGGACGGAGCCGTCAGCGAAGAGCTGCGAGAGCGGCTTGTCGAGGTTGGGTCGGTAATCCTCCTCGAGCACGCCGCGCATGTACAGAGTCGGGTCGTCCTGCAGCGCGCCCGCCTCGCACCGCAGCGACGGCGTCTTGAGGCGGAGGCGAGGGTCCGCGGCGAGCTGCTCGAGCAGCTGGGTGAGGGTCGCCGAGCCCGCGATCTCGACCTGCGAGAGACAGCCGAGATATACCCGAGATATACCCGAGAGGTAGCCGAGAGGTAGCCGAGAGTTAGCCGAGATACAGCCGAGATATAGCCGAGATATAGCCGAGCCTGCGATCTCGACCTGCATGCCCACGCCGCATACGAGATCGGCCGAGATGAGCCGAGAAGAGGCTGGCTGCAAGGTCGGCCGAGGTCGGCCGAGGGTGACCGAGGGTGGCCGAGGTTGGCCGAGGTCTCGACCTGCACGCCCGCGCCGCAGACGATGCACTCGGGGCTCCGCTCGTACCGGAAGGTTGGCGCGTAGACGCCCTGCCCGCCGATGTACATCAAGTTGTTGTTGACGTACGCCGCGCAATTGGTGAGCACCTGCGCGTGCACTCTCGGCTCCTCTCGGCACCTCTCGGCTCCTCTCGGCACCTCTCGGCAACTCTCGGCTCCTCTCGGCTCCTCTCGGCAACTCGGCAACTCTCGGCTCCTCTCGGCCCCTCTCGGCTCCTCTCGGCTCCTCTCGGCAACTCGGCTCCTCTCGGCTCCTCTCGGCCCCTCTCGGCTCCTCTCGGCTACTCTCGGGGACATCTCGGGGGACATCTCAGGGGCGTTGTCTCGGGCGAGCGCGCCTTGAAGACCTCATTGGCGCACGCGGCGGCGACGATGGCGTTGGTGGAGGCGATCGCGGGGATGATGTTCTTGATGACGCCCTGCGTGTGCATCAGCGTGACGCCCGGGATGTTGAACTGCGCCGCGCGCTCCTGACAGCAAGGGGGAAAGGGGCGTGTTCAGGGAAGTGTGTGTGTGTGGGGGGGGGGTGCGGCGGTGCGGCGGTGGAGAGGCAGGGAGAGGGAGAGGCAGGGAGGCAGGGAGAGGGAGAGGGAGGGAGGGAGGGTGGGAGGGAGGGAGGGAGGGAGGGAGGGAGGGAGGGAGGGAGGGAGGGAGGGAGGGAGGGAGGGAGGGAGGGAGGGAGAGGGAGAGGGAGAGGGGGAGGGGGGGAGAGTGCATCTCGTGGTTCGCTCCTCGGCGCGCTGGAAGACCCACTGCTGGTAGGCGGGGTCGTCCTTGTCCTGCTTCTCGTCGCCAAACTGCTTTGGCGCCTCGATCAGGTGCGCGTACCTGCCACGCAGCCGCGGCCAGCGCGCGCTCAAAGGAGAGGGAGAGAGCTGTGAACGGCGGCTCGATCTGGTGGGAGGACAGGCTGGAGGAGGGGCACTGTACGGCGGAGGAGAAGAGGGAGGGGCGAGGAGGGGAGGAGGGGAGGAGGGGAGGAGGGGAGGGGCGCCCGCGCACAGGATGCAGTGCGCCGCGTTGCGAGGCGTCTCTGCGATCGTGCAGAGCGGCACGGCTTGCTGCGGCGGGAAGAGGTTGAGGGTGCACTCGAAGCAGCCAGACACGCACGGGTACATGACGCGCACGTGCCTGAGGGACGTGTCTCGGACACGTCGTGGACATGTCCTGGCGGCAGGGAGGGGGGGGGAGGGGATGCGCAAGCGCGTGCCCCGAGAAGCCCTCGGTGCCGCCGTCGACAAGGGGGATGACCGAGGTGAGGTCGGGCTTGCGCTGCCCCGTCTCCATGTCGACCTCGAAGGTCACCAGAGAGCACGCCATCGCATTGAGCCACCGTCGAGCCTCGAGGGGGCGGGCCGTGGTGGGCGGGTTGCTTGCGGCGGGAGGGGAGAGAGTGATGGAGGGAGGGAGGGAGGAGTGCGGAGTGCACACCTCGATCGAGTCGAGCCCCATCACGATGACCTGGAACTGGCGGTACCAGTCGGCGGGCTTGTCTTGGATCGGACAGAAGTGCGCCTCCACGGTGACGCCGGAGACGCGCTTCATGATGAACTCCGCGGCGACGGTCGATTTTGGCCGCCCGACGTCGGCCTTGCGGAAGAGGAACTGCCGGTTGAGGTTCGAGACGTCGATCGTGTCCATGTCGATGACGTCAATCTTGCCAAAGCCGGAGAGCGCGAGGTCCTTGAGGAGCTCGCAGCCCAGTCCGCCCGCGCCGACCACGAGCACGCGCGCGTGCTGCTGCATGAACGAGAGGATCTCGGGCGACGGCTCAAAGGGCAGCGGCGGGTCAAAGATCGTGCCGTAGTTTCCGACGTTGGCCATCGGCCCCGTCCGGCTGAGCAGCTTCTGCAGGTCCGGGAAGGTGCCCGACTGGCCGTCGTGGGCTGATGTAGCGGGCGTCGACATGCTTTCGGGCGCCGCGCGAGAGGCGCGCGGAGCGGGAGAGCTTGGAAAAAAGAATAACGCGTGCGGCCTGAGCGAAGCTGGGAATAGGACCGTCGCAAGCGGCGTGGCGTGGAGCGGTTGAGCATCCCTCCGGGGGCCCCTCTGCGCCGGGGAGGCGTTGTTGGAGGCTAGGACGCAAGCGTCCGTCGCCCTTTTCAAACTCGGGGCCCACTCCGCTACGCTCCAACCCGAATTGGAGGGCCTAAAAGTTTAAGGTGTTGCTGCGCAAAAGGGGTCGGACACAGGGCACAGCTCATGCTAAGAGCTAGAAAAACTGGGAGTTACTTGTTAATGTTCCTTATTGCTCAGCGAGGCGTGGAAGAGCAGCGAGCCGCGACGCGAGCGATGTTTGCGGGGTCGCAGCGAGAGACGACGCGCACGAGGAGCTCCGGGTCGAGCAGGCGGGTGGGCGGCGGGCCGGCGGCGTGCTTGGCGAGGGAGCGGCGGCGGCGGGGGCTGACATCGCAAGAAAAGAAAAATATGCCGAGTTTTCTGAGACAGACGTTACACCAGCATGCGCGACCTCTTTGCGCTGCTCGCTCGCGGCTGCGGGAGACATGGCCGCGGATGCGGCTCGCACTCGCTCGGCGGGCCTCCGTCTCACAGCCGCCCGGGCGTGCCAGGGGTCTGCCTGGCGCTGCGCTGCTCGCACGCTGCACTGCGCAAAGCTGCGACAACAAGGGGAGGCGCCTGGACTTGAGCGTTGAGGCAGCGCAACTGCGGGTGCTCGTGGACGGCTGTGAGGTGGTGAGAGAGCCTGATTGGGGGCGAGCTGGTGCTGCGCCAGGGTGCGCAGCATGCTCTCCCGCTCTGTCCTGAGGCATGCTGGCTGGCGCCCAGCACAATGCCCTCAATACATTGCTCCAAGCCGTGCTGGCTGGTGCAGTACTACCAGTGCGCTGACTGGCGCGCGGGGTGCGCGTCGCCGCGCGTGGCACGCGAGGCTCGAGAGGCGCAGCTGTCAGTCAACCCCGCGGCGCATGGGCGCCGCGGAAGCTGCTCGACAGGCTGCGGGCATCGCTGCGGCAAAAGTGCCTGTCCTCTGCTTTGCTTTCGCCCGCGTTTTACGACAACTTTCGGTTTATCATAGCCGACGAACTTTACCTCGCTGTTTCTTTATAGGCGTCTCGCTGCTGCGTATTCTCGTATTATCGTCGAGTAGTTGCGTGGGGGCGGTACGTATTCTCGTATCACTAGCTAGTGTCGTGTCCACTAGCTCCGAGTAGAGGGTGCGTTCTGCTGCTAGGGGAAACCCGGAGCGCGGTACTATCCCTCGGAGAACCGTGTTAATATGGCCCTGCGACCGCGCACCCCCCAGAGCGGCCGCACACTGCTCGGTACCCCCCTGCACACCTAAGCCCATGGCCGACCCCCCCCCAGCAGCAGAGCTCTGCCTGTGGGGGGTGCTGGCATCTCTGTGCAGACAGCTGTATTGCAATAAGTAGCATTGTACACTGTCTGTTTCCATTTGTCATAGGCAGCGTTGTATGCATCGCCGCAGTCAAAGTCATTCTGATCAGGTTTAGTCAGCGGCGACGGTGACGGAAGCGCTTCGCGAGATGCCTACCGGTGTGCGCGGGCGCGGATGCGGGCGGGGGCGCGGATGCGGGCGGGGGCAAGGGACGGGCGAGAGGCGGCGGGGGCAAGGGGCGGGTGAGAGGCGGCGGGGGCGAGGGGCGGGCTGGGTGGCGCGCAAGGGCGGGCGGGCGGCCGCACTTCTCGGAAATGAACTCATCCGGTCAGCGCTCTCGCTATTCTTTATGACAGGGTACAAACTGACTTCGTCCGGACGAAGTCAGTTTGTGACTCCCCTCACCCTCTGGTGAGACCGGTCACCTGGTCAACCGGGAGAGAGAGAGATTTTTAGCAATACCAAACAACTCTAACACTCACACGTAATTTGGGGCCTGGAGCCCTGTTCACGCGCGCGCGAGACGTGCAGACAGGAGAGCGAATGGCGCGGTTCACGCCTCGCACAACAGAGAGAGAGATGCGCTCTGCATGGTGGGACATAAAAGAGAGCGAGTACTTGGGCGAGTAGGCCGTGCGGTCAACGCTACCGCGCGCGACTTTGCGCGCGAGGCGGCGCAGCTTGAGAACGGCGGTGGGCGAGAAGCCGCCGCCGAACGTCTCGTGGAGCAGCAGGTTGAAGTTGTTGCGCTTGACAAAGATCGCGTCGTGGTAGAAACCGCGATGCGCCTTGACGTAGCCGTGGCCGGTCTTGTGGGAGAAGGGTTGGCTGGGCTGCCCGCGCGCCTTGCAGCCCATGTTCAGGCGGCGGGCTTTCTCCTCGGTGTTGCCGAAGGCGTAGGAGTGGCCAACGGAGGCGGGCGTGCCGCCACTCGAGGCGTTGCCAACGCCCGGCGAGGAGGTCTTGAGGAGTTTTGTCAACCGGTGGCTCGCAAACTGACTTCGGGAATGACTTTTCTTTTTTCACACCTCCACGTGTGAGGTGTGAATGTGAAAAAAGAAATCAGTTTGGTACCCGTTCATAGGTCATCCACCTGGCTATCAGGTGAGCCGCAAACTGACTTTTTTTCCAGACTTCACCCAGAGTTCACCCAGACCGTACACAGCGTCGGACACGTCCAGGCAGGGAGCTCGCAAAAAGTATCGCCTTGGTTGGAAGTCGCCCTATCTATACCCGCCCTCCCCGGCCGCCCCCGGCCGCTTAGCCCAGTTTTCGCCCAACGCAGAAAAAAGAAACCACGCGCTCAAGCAAGACGCCCAGGGCGCAGTGTCGACCTGCAGTGTCGACCTGCTGGCTTGAAGTTCTCGCATGCGCGTCGCCTCCGTCCTTCCGTCGGCCACCGAGATCCTGTGCTTCATCGGCGGCGAGCGCTTGCTCGTCGGCCGGTCGCACGAGGACAACTTTCCGCCGCAGATCACGTCTCTGCCGGTCATCACGGGCCAGACGACCACCTTCACCACGGCCGCAGAGGTCGACCGCGTTGTCTCAGATTCGATCGGTAAGGGCCAGTCGCTCTACACGCTCGACGCGCCACTGATCGAGTCGCTGTCTCCCGACGTCATCCTGACGCAAGACATCTGCTCCGTGTGCGCCATCGACCTGCAGACAGTGGAGCGGCTCGCGGCCAAGATGACGCCGCGGCCGAAAGTCGTGTCGCTCAACCCGCTCAACCTGGACGACGTGCTCGCCAACGTGTGCTCCTCTCTCCTGTTCCTCTCTCTCTCTCTCTCTCTCTCTCTCTCTCTCTCTCTCTCTCTCTCTCTCTCTCTCTCTCTCTCTCTCCCTCTCCCTCTCTCCAGCTCTCTCTCTCTCTCTCTCTCTCTCTCTCTCCCTCCCTCCCTCCCTCCCTCCCTCCCTCTCCCCCTGCTGCGGAGCCTGCTCTCACTTCCCCCTCAGGTACTGCAGCTCGGAGAGGCGGTCGGCATGGCGGAGGAGGCGAGGGCGGCGCACGCGTCGCTGGTCGAGCGGATCGCGGCGGTCGACCGGCGGGTGGAGCAGCGGCGGCGGCAGCTCGGCGAGGGGAGGAGAAGGCCGCGCGTCGCCTTCATCGAGTGGTCGGACCCGCTGTACGTGGGAGGGCACTGGACGCCGCAGCTGATCGAGCGGGCGGGCGGCGAGCACCCGCTCAACGCCGGCGGAGAGAGCGGCGGCGGGAAGTCGTTCCCGGTGCCGCCCTCAGCGGTGGGCGCACGTGGACTTTCTGCTTCCGCCTGCGTCTGGAGGACATGCCCGCGACACGTCCTCGACGTGACTGTAGGTGGTCGAGCCGGACCCCGGCCATGGATGATGAAAACTCGTGCGTTGACACCCCCCGCGGATGACAGGTGGTCGAGGCGGACCCCGACCTGGTCATTCTCGCCCCGTGCGGGCTCACTCTGGACATGACTCGCCGAGAGGCGACCGCCCTCAACCAGGGGGCGGGGACAAGGAACCGTCCAGGAGCCTTCCAGGAGCCTTCTAGGCGACCGCCCTCGCCAGGACGGAGTGGTGGCGTTCGCTACGAGCGGTCCGCGAGCCTAGAAGCTTCTAGGAACCTTCTAGGAACCTTCTAGGTCCGCGAGCCTAGAAGCTTCTAGGAACCTTCTAGGAACCTTCTAGGTCCGCGAGCCTAGAAGCTTCTAGGAACCTTCTAGGAACCTTCTAGGTCCGCGAGCCTAGAAGCGGACTGCAGACGCCGTGCATGCGCACGAGCACGCGAGAGGACGCACGTCGAGCGGCGTGTGCCCGTACCCCTCGTCTTCACGCGATGTACTCTGACTGCGACGGCACGAGACCGTACTCCCGCCCCGACTCTGCTGTCTCACGGCGCAGGACCGCGAGAAGCTGACCTGACCTCACCTACCTACCTGACCTCACTAGGTCCGCGAGGGGCGCGTTGTGCTTGTCGACGGCGACGCGATGTTCAACCGGCGCGGCCGGCCCCATGCGGGCGGGCGAGGGGCCTCCCTCCCCCCCCACCCCCACACCCCTCTGGCTGCGAGCAGGCCGGGCCCTCGGCTGGTCGACGCGCTCGAGTGGCTCTTCTCGGCGGTCCACGGCGTGCCCGAGGCGGCGCCGCACCGGTTCCCGTGCGAGTGGCTCCCCCCCTCCTCTTCCTTGCCACGGGACGAGGCCAGCGCGGCGGCGGGCGGCTCGCCGGAGGAAGAGGCGGCCGCCGAGCAGAAGGCGATCGCGGACATCGAGGAGGCGCATGCGTGCGCCGTGCGCGCGGGCAAGCGGTCTAGATGCGAAACACCAGATCCGCACACCGCTCCAGTCGGCACTCGAAGCTGCTGCACACCGGTACCTGTAGCTTAAGGTTCCTGCACCAGCCCCGGTATTCCCGCGGTGCTCCGGATACACTACACGCTGCCGGATCCCCGCCCTCAACTGGGCAGGCAAGCTGCAGTACACGGACCCGGCGACAGGCTACTCTGTCTTTACGCAGCTCGCCTCCTCGCGGCGCGGCTACTGCTGCGGGAGCGGCTGCCGCCACTGCGTATATGGCCACGAGAATGTCAAGCCGGAAAGGAGGGTGGCGTTGCGCCGCCCCATCACCTGCGAGATCGGGGGGTGACGCTAGTCCGAGTGTGTGGAGACGGACGGTTGCGGTGGGCGGGACGTTGCGTTGCGTGGCGGCTGTCGCCGGAGAGTCGGGGGCACTGATACCGAGCATATCGTCTAGATACTCGTAGCGAGAACGGACTACGCTTGCGCTGGAGAGGGGGACCGCGGCGAGAGGCGTCACACAGGCGCTGAGGTCCTGTGAGCCTCAGGCCGCGATTCTGTCATCGATCTGACTTCTGAGCGGAGTGAGACGCACGACCCTGGCGCGAGCACGACCGATGTGCTCGATGAGGCGCGATGTGCGATGAGCGCACCCACGACGGAGAGCTAGAGCTGTCAAACGTTAAGAGCTGAACATAGTGTTGCTAGTGTTAACAGTAACAACAGAACAACAGTGGGGCTCCCCACAACAACAGTAGCTAACGTTAGGCCGGCTGAACAACAATAAGGAAGGCCTGGCAGTGATAGAGCTGTCAAACGTTAAGAGCTGAACAGTGTTGTGCTAGTGTTAACAGTAACAACAGAACAACAGTGGGGCTCCCCACAACAACAGTAGCTAACGTTAGGCCGGCTGAACAACAATAAGGAAGGCCTGGCAGTGACCCACGACGATCTCCAGCGTCCAGTGCGGGTAAAACCCTGGAAAAACCCAGGTATTTCGGGTTTTACCCGGGTTTTTTGGCATTTTCTGCTTGCTGGCCACTGAACAACAGTAACAACAGTAACAAACAGTAACAGCTTGGGCTGGGGAGAACACTTGAACAACGTTGAGGATTTTCAGCCAACAATAGTGCAACTGTTAGGCCCAAAGTTAACGTTTGACAGCTCTAGGCAGTGACACCCCAGTGACCCACGACGATCTCCAGCGTCCAGTGCGGGTAATACCCGAAAATACCCGGTGCGACGGTGTATCATTCACTTTATGGTTGCAACGCGGATATGCAACGGTGGCATAAAGCGTGTGAATGATACACCGTCGCATAAGGAAACCCCCAGGTATTTTTGGGTTTTACCCGGGGTTTTTGGCATTTTCACTGGTTGGGTAGTAGGCTAAGTTCTGAGCCTCGAGGCTTAACAGGTCTAAGTGTGAAGTGACCGGTCACGCTGGTGCTTACGCGGTCTAAGATCGGCGGGAGCCTCTTATGCGGGCTAAGTCGGCCGTGATCATTGGGTTGCCTCAAATTTTCCAGTGAACATCAATTTTGAGCGCATCCCAGCACGGATAGAGGTGCAGTGTTGATATCTGGATAACTGCGCACAATGGGATGACCCGCGAGGTTCGTGGAAGGCCGGCAGCTTTACGTGCTGTCGTGCAGCTCGTAGAATGTACTGTACTGCATCCGGTGCGCTCCGTTTTAGATGTCAGAGAATGTACATTTTTGATGTCTTCTATTAAAATGCTCATTTCTTTCAACCTCGGACGCGTCTCTGCAGCTATTATGTTCGTAAAATTCCCTTCATGAAATTCTTTTCGAGTTTCTGTGTTGGCGCGGCGGGCGGCGAGGCGTGGCATACGTTGGTTCATAGTTGGGACCGCGTTTTTGCAGGTGCATTTTTGTCGTATATTTGGAGCCGTGGAATCTTCCGCGTCCGCACGATTTTAACCCGAGCAAAAACCAAAATCGCCATATCGTGCGTTTCCTCATGCCGCCCGCGGCCCTAGCCGCGGCCAACAACCAAACGCAAAAAGAAAAAACTATTTGTGCTCTCGAGACAGCATGTCTCTGCCCGTCTTCCTGCTCCTCACTCGGCCGGGCGGCGGCACGGGTGGTGTGGAGGCGTCGCCGCCGCGCGTGCGCGCGTGCGGCCGGGGCGGCGCCGGAGCCCACCTGCTGGCGCCGCCACGGCGCGACGCCCGGGGCGGAACGCGGGGTCGAGAAGACTCATGGCGAGGCTTCAAGGCAGCTCCAGAGCGAGCATCTTGACGCAAAGCAGCTCTCTGGCGACGAGCCGCGGCTCGGTCGATTGGTTGATTCTTGGTTGGTTGACGGATGAGCGGACGGAGGCGACCACGGTGCCCAGCGGTGAAGAACGCGAGCGGTTAATACGCCGTCCGTTGCCTAACTGTTGTTTGTTGGTCCTGGCTCTTGTTCGTTGTTGCGTTCCGCGGCGAGCTCACTTTGCTGCAACCTGCATCCTTTGGCGACCGCGGCACGACCACGAGGCCGTCCCGTTTTGATCTCTCGGTCTGTGGGGGGCCGAGCCGCCTCGGGGTGGCGGGCGGGCAGGCGTTTTGAAAAACAGAAACCAAGAGGGGGCCCGGAGGCCCAGGCCCCCCACTGGGAGTAGAAAATACTCCCAAAAGGGGGCCAAGGAGGCGGCGCGGGGAAGCAGCATGAAAGCGGGAAGGAAAAGACTCTCGCCCAGTTGCGGCGTGTGGGGACGCGTCCATCTTCACTCGTGTGCGCAGACCAGCGTACTTCTGCACGACCCTCGCTCAATCAGAGCCACTCCAGATTGGCGGCCTTCACGGCGACACGACCGCCGGAGTTGTCGACCTCGATCGAATAGCGTGCCGTCGCTGCGTTGTAGTCCGCAACCCTGCCCGTCTTGCCATTCAGATCTGCGCGGCTGACGAGGCCGACAAAGCGGACCGGTTTGCCCGCAATCAGCTTGCGCGCGACCTCATCACTGCGGGTGTACATGTTTTTATCCTTGGAGCGGAGGATCGCACTTGCCGCCATCATGCACTCCATCTGCTCTCCCGATGCCACCCCCGTCGTGAGCATGCGGGACGGCGCAGGCCGGATGAAGCTGACCTGCGAAATGTTAGCCGGCTCGTTCGGCTTCCCCGCCACAGCCGAGGCCCAACCGCGAGGGCGGTACTTGATGGCCACTCCGCGAATCTGGTCGGGTGCGTTCTCCGCAGTCTTGAAGACCTCGAAGGGCCACTGGCGGCCGTACTCGCGCAGCGCCTCGACGAAACGGCGCTCGTGGGCCGCGCGCTCGTTCTTCTCGCCGGGAGCGCAGCACTTGCCCGTGCAGCCGACAATCGGATCGATCATGCTTGGTGGGAGGCAGCCCGCCTGCATGAGGATGAGGCCGAGGACCTGCATGGCGTGCCCCGCAGCCGGGCAATCGTCCCCACACGAGTCGTAGAGCTGCTGCGTGGCATTCGCCATGTCGATGAGCGGCTCAATCGCAGCCTCAATCTTCAAGTGCTGGTCTGCTGCCTGATCCAGCACTTCGAAGAACTCGGCGTACTCCTCGTGCGAGTGGCGGCCAATATACAGCCCAGGCTGCCCACCGTCGGCCATGGGCACGCTGACCATGACCACGGCGAAGGTCTTGCGGCGCTCGGCGTAATTGGTAGGCCCGACGCCCGCCCGCGTGAGCAGATCCATCGCAAACTCGAGCGTGCTGTCGCTCCCGATGATGTCCCAGCTCCAAACCCCCATGGTGAAAGGCACGAGTGTCAGAAGAATTTTACTCGCAAGGCGACTCCCTCGCACGACACTGAGCACGGGACTGGCGCGCACTGTCACAAGAATTTTACAACAAACTCCCTCGCACAACACTGGGCACGGCACTGGCGCGCACTGGCACTAACACAGAAGAATTTCACAACAGAAGAAAGAGGACACGCGCGAGCGACACACAGACATACACAAGACACTCAGCCAGCTGGGCTGCCACACATCCCGCGTGAGCGTACACAGCACTACGCCACTCAGGGCCACGCCCCGCCCGGCTCCTGTTGCCCCCCCCCCCCCCCCCCCCCTCTGAGCCCTGGCTGTCAGGCTGTCAGGTGCTGTCAGGTGATCTGTCGGGCTGTCGGTGGCACGACGCCCATCGCGCCCGCCAGCGCTGCCGTGCAGGTTGCCACGACGAGGTCGAGCACGCTTCTATACGCTCGCCCAGCCTTCCTTTCCATCCCATTAGGCAGCCTGGGAACGGTGGCGATCAGAGGCAAAGCCTACGAGGGGTGGTGGAACCACATGTCACGGCCACCGCGTGTGAATGTTATAAACACGGACTAACTAAGAGTTTATAAACACCACCTGGTTCACGACTATTTAAGACTATTTAACAGGATCCGCCCGCTCCCGCATGAAGTTCAGTTAAACGCGCGTTTATTTGAAATGATAAACCTCGTTCATAAACTTAATAAACAGGGCTCTGTTCGCGCGTCCCTGCACGTTACGTCCCTGTTCGAGCGTCTTCCCTGTTTTTCTTTCGGAGGGACGGACGTTGCTAGACATTTATAAATAACCTGCCGCGGGCATGGTATTTAATTTATAAATGGAGGCGATCAAATTCGCCGAGCCCAAAAATTCTTTTGCGCCCTTCGTGAGTGAGGCGGGCTGCCGGCAAGACGCAACGTAATTTTTATCTCGTCGAGAGGCTTGCCGGTCTAGAGGTAGCGCGTGAATTGCGTAACGTGCAGGATGGTGAATCTTGATGAATTGGTTGTCGGCGACAAGGTTTATTTCACTGGCCACGATCAGCGCGACACCGACGGCGAGCTTCTGGCGTACGGTACGTATGGCGAGGTCACCAGCCTGGAGGACATCGAGGACGGGCTTGCTGAGGTGCATTTCCCTTCAATCGAAGACTACATCGACTGCTGCGTCGACGAGCTCAGCTTTGAGCCAGCTCCACCGCTGCCTGGCGGCTTTGCCGTGGGTGATCTCAGACCTACTTCACTGGGCGTGATCAGACCTTTGAGGACGGCGACATGCTCGAGCATGGCGAGGCGGGCGAGGTGTTGGGCCCGTATGGAGACAAGGGCCTCGCCATGCTCTTCCCCGAGAACGACGGGGCAGCATACTGCAGCCTGACAAACCTGAGCCGCGACCCGCCATCGCCACTGCCCGGAGGCTTTCGTGTGGGCGAGCTGCTGTACTTCGTGGGGTCAGAAGTCTTCTTTAACCCGGACAACAACGGAATGCGCGGACAATGCGCGGTGGTCAAGTACGGAACGCGAGGCGAGGTGGTCGGCCGTGCGCTTCCGAACTTCGAAAACGGCAATGGGCTCAAGCTCAAATTCCCCGGCTTCGGAGCACTTCCCTTCAACCCACTCGTACTGAGCCGCGACGAGCCACCGGATGACGCCCTCTCTGACGACAAGTACCGGCGGGCACGCCGCGCGCTCGCAGCCCGGAAGGAGCAGCAGGAGTGCGCTGCCCCGCAGGCGGCAGCGGCCGAGGACCTCGAGTTTGAGGTGGAGTGGCGGCAGCGGCTGGCGGATGAGCTCATCGCGGAGGAGGCCAAGGCATCACTTGGGCCGCAGGGGCGGCGCACGGGCAAGAAGAAGAAGAAGAAGAAGGGCGGCCTCCGCCAGCGAGGCAACTGCGGTCCGGCGCAGCAGGAGGAGGTCGACGTGGAGAGCGAGGACGAGGAAGCGGCGGCGGCAGAGGCGAGGCGCGCAGAGAGGGTGGCGGAGGAGACGCGGCGTGCGGCGCTGGCAGCCGAGGCGGCACAGCGGGACAGGGAGGAGTGGCTGGAACGCGAGGCGCGGGCCGCGGCGGCAGCAGATGCACTGGCGGAGCGCGAGGCGCAGGGCGAGCGGCAGCAGGCGGCCCGGGCGGAGGAGCGGAAGCGGGTGGCGCAGTCTCAACAGCCCATCGCGCAGCGGGCGCTTGAGCATGCAATCTCGGAAGCGAGGGTCGAACGGTTGGCTGCGACGGGCCGCGAGGAGGCGGCGGGGGGCCGCGAGGAGGCGGCGAGGGCCCGCGAGGCGACCGCGAGGGCCGAGGCGGCAGAGGCGAGGGCCGAGGCGGCAGAGGCGAGTGCAAGCGAGGAGGCGGCGAGGGCCCGCGAGGAGAAGCTGACCCGTCGCCTCGCGGCTCTCAAGGCGGAGTCAGGCCCACCACCAGCAGCAAACGGCGCTGCCAACGGCGCAGGCGGCCAAGGCCGCGCCACTCTGCAGCAAAAGGTCGCTCGCATCCGCACCTCGGCCTGGACGCGGACTGCTCGCTCGCCTCGGCGGTGACGGCGGCGAACGCGCGGGCGGGGCTCGCGGCCGAGGGCGGGCTGGTGGCGCAAGTGGAACGGCTGACGGAGCTGCTCTTTTGGGATGAGGCGGGTGGGGCGGCATGAAGCTTTCAGGACATGCGGGCGGCATGAAGCTTTCAGGACATGCGACGCGCCCAACACAGTGAAACCGTTTGTCTTGAGCGGAGCTGACAGCTGCGCTTGTTTGGGATGGGTGGTCGGGCACAAGGGACAGGCGGGTTGCGATCTCATTGTTGTGACTTGTGTGTCGAGATTTATTTCTCGGGGGGACACATGCACATGTGCAACACCATTGCTCAGAGTTTTATTTCCTTATTTCTCGAGAGACGGTTGGCACCTCGGCACCAGCACAGGCCGTCCGTCACATGGGCACCGTCAACCACGCGCAGACCGCAGTCATCTAGGAGAATATACATTGCGACCCCGGCAGGCGACAGCTCGACTATGTGCACTAAAAGGACACGACACACAACCTATTCCTAAAAGGAAGGCCGCGCAGGGACATGTGCATGTGCATGTGCATGTGCATGCACATGTGCATGTGCATGTGCGGCAGGCGAGCTCATCCCCCCCCCTCCCGCGAGCAGCTTTCCGGGAGGAAGGGCAGCTGCCCGTCGGGACCCAAGGGGAGGGGCTCCTCCGCCTCCCGCCATGCCCCGATCTGCCGGGCGGCCTCGCTGCAGCCGACGGGCTCCGGCACGCCATACTCTGTGCGCAGGACCTCGCTCTGCAGCACGGCCCGGTCCAGCGCGCTGATGGCGTCGGCGACGCGCGCGCCCGACGCCTCGTCGGTCGCGCGTGCGTGCGAGGCCTTCTCCTCCGCCGTCCACAGCTCCGCGCGGAGGGCCGGCGAGTCGAGTGCGTCGAGCGCCGCAGCGCCGGAGCGGACTGGCCCGCTCTCCCGCAGGGCGGCCCACCGCTCCGGCTTCGCCATCCAAAACTCGTACCTGGGCGGTGGCAGGGCCGCGGGGGGCAGAGAGAGGTTGGCCGCGGTGAGTGTGACGGGGGCACAAGACGGTGGTCGGCGTGACGCGACTGCTGCGAGCCTCGCACCGCCGCAGGAAGGGCCACGCTCTCCCCATCGCCGGTCGTCCCGGAGGCGAGTCCTGCATCCCCTGCCCGACTGGCAAGCCCTCGCATCCAAAGGGCGGCTCGTCGAAGCTCTCCTCGACGCGGCAGTCCTTGTTGTACGTCACCGCCGAGTTGACCTGACGACCGAGACTGGGCCGAAGTTCGCCGAGAATGGGCGAGACCTGTCCTGCCGTGCAGTGCGGAAGCGGCACCGCGTTGTGCAGCTTCCACACAAACAGACAGAGCGAGTCGCCGTCGACCACCTGTGCAAGCGTGTCACGCTCATCGCTCGGATGTCGCTCGCGGCCCAGAGCGGGTCGCCGGCAAGCCACCGCCGCCAGCTTGGCCTATGCTCGCGGGGAGGTGTGAAGAGAGCGACACGCCGTGCCGCCCTCTGCCACCCGCTTGGCTTGGCCTCGAGCGTCGCGGCGCTGCGGTTGGCTCCGCCAGCGAAGAGCCACTCGAGCGGGTAGAGCGCGGCCTGCGACGGCGGCGGAGGGCGTGGCGAAGCGCACCTTAGCGGCTGTGAGCGCGGTGCCTGCGGTCTGTGTGCATGTGTGTGTGTGCGTGCGTGCGTGCGTGCGTGCGTGTGTGTGTATGTGTGTGTGTGTGTGTGTGTGTGTGTGTGTGTTTGTGTGTGTGTGTGTGTGTGTGTGTGTGTGTGTGCGGTGTGTGTGTGTGCGGTGTGTGTGTGTGTGTGTGTGTGTGTGTGTGTGTGCGGTGTGTGTGTGTGCGGTGTGTGTGTGTGCGGTGTGTGTGTGTGCGGTGTGTGTGTGTGTGTGCGGTGTGTGCGTCTGCGGGCGGGGCGGTGGGCTCGCCTCCGACTCTGTGGCCTGCAGGGGCCCCTCGCGCAGCGCGCGCCAGTCGCGGTCATTCCTGCGGGTCGAGATCGGAGATCAGGCCGTGATCGAGGTCGTGCCGATGTCTGCCGCGAGCCGAGATCGGGCCGAGATCGGGCCGAGATCGGAACGAGATCGGGCCCGAAGTCAGCCTCTCCTGCTGACGCGCGAGATGAAGTGCTCGCGGCACTGCGGGCACGGGTGGCTCAGCGCGTAAAAGGCGAGCATCCTCTTGAACTCCGCCTGTCCACGGGGCGCGGGCTGTGACGAGGCGCGGTTCACGTGTGAGCAGGGTGCCGTCGTCAGCTCCGCCACGGCGGCGGAAGCGAGCGGCGGGTCGCAGGAGCGCTGCAGCTCGGCGGCGCGAGCGGCGATGGTGTGCCACAGCAGCCACGTGGGCGGTCCCTGGTAGTGCGGCACGCCTGCGCGACAGCGGGGCGGCTGTGAAGGCAGCGAGCAGCCACAGGGCGGTCGGAGGCCGGGGTGTGGCGGCGCAGACCGACGCGGAGGAGGGAGCGGTTCATGTACGGGTGCGAGGCCGCGTAGGGCGGAGGCAGGGCGGGGCGGAGGAAGGGGACGTAGAGCGAGACGTCGAAGTCCTGCGACTTGAGGCTCGGCTGCTCGCGCTGCTTCTGCGTGCTCTGGAGGTAGCCCTGCACGAGGCGCCACACCCGCTGCACCAGCTCACTCTGCCCGAACACGTCCCGGATGTCCGCCGGGAGCAGCTGCCCCTCCTGCGGCGGCGCGAGGCCGCGAAAGCCGCAGCTGAAGGCGGCCGCGGCGGCGGGCAGGAAGGACTCCTCCCACCACTCGAGAGGCGGTGCGGTTCGGCTGGTCGCGAGCTGGGCGAGCAGCACCTGTTCACGGGACGCCGCCGTGAAGAGGCGCCGTGCGGGTTTCGCGGGCGCTTGGAGGACAGCGAGAGGTTGCATCTCGCAGCGGGTCGACGAGGCCGCGGCAGCGCGTGAGCTGCAGCCCGTCGAAGAGGTTGAGGAGGGAGACGGTGTGTGCGACGAAGGAGGGGAAGCCGTACGGTCGACCGGCTGGCGGGCGCAACTCGGCCTCGCCGCACCACGTGCGCCACGACTGGTACGTGCGGTACGCCATTGCGGTGATCAGTCGAAAGGCTGCAGCTTCATGAGCGTCGGCAGGATCGGCAGGAGGGCAGCCAGCCGACCACATCGCGTTGCGAAAGATCTCACCCGCCGGGCACTGCACGTTGGTCCAGCCGTGTGGCACCTCCGCGGGCAGCTCACTCCACATATCGCGTGGCTGTGGTCGGGCGGTTGGTGCGGCGATCAGGCCGATTGCCACGCCAGAAGCGAGCGCGACCAGCGCCACGACCCACCCTGCGGATTCGCGCCGTCGCGAGTCGACCGCAGAGTAGCCGACAGAGGAGTGGTCGAGCATCGGGTGGGCAGGAAGCGTCTATCGAGGATTGGGACCGCGGTGGGTTCAGCTGGCCCCTGCTGCTCGAGGTGTCGAGAGGTGGCCGCAACGTTTTTCTTCTGGTCATCAGCAGCCGCCGACCAAAGACCAATCTCCATGCATGCATACAAAAAGGAGGACATGTGTACCGTACACATGCGGCTCATGTACAGGTGTTCACGCGATGTAGGCGGTATCCGTGGTAGTGATGGTGGTCGTCGTGGTAGTAGTGGTGGTGCGGGCGGTGCGGGCGGTGGCGTCGCCCAGCTCCGTGCTCCAGCGCTCCGTCGAGAGCAGCTTGCGCACGAGACGTTCGAACGGATCGTTGTAGCCATACGCGGCCTCGATGGCCGCCAAGATACGGTCACGGTCCTTGGGGTAGGCGCAGGCTGTCTTCGCCACCTTGAAGCGGGACGCATCGAGTCCCTCACCGCAGGTCGACGACGCGTCATTCTCAGCCAGGTACAGGACCGAGATGCGGTCGACTGTGCCGCCGAGCGAGAGAAAGCAGAAGATTTCGAGGACGCACCACAACCGTGTGATGTAGGAGTTGCCTGCGAGCACCACAAAGTGGTTGCAGCCGCCGATAAAGATGGGCAAGCCGCGCAGCGAGCGAATGATGTCGCTCTGGTCGATGCACGCCTTGTCGAGCCACAGAAGAGGATCCCGCCCGTGCGTGGACGCAAAGGCCCGCGCCCACTGCTCGAGTGCTTGGTACTTAGCTTCAGCGTCGTCACCCCAGCTGTGTGATACAAAGGCATCCACACCGCCGAGGTGGGCAGGTTCCGCGTAAGAATGGAGCAGGGCTCGCTGTTCCTCCGACGCCACCGAGGTGCTGAGAACTTCAGTGGAAAGGGCGGAGAGTCGCACAGCCTTGAAACGGCTGACCGCGTCGATCACGTGGCTGTTCGTCGAACGGAAGCCATCTCGGCCGAAGAGTGCAGCCACAGCGGCGGCGCGCCTCGCGCGTTCGTCGAGACCAATACCGCCTAGCATGTGTTGAATCTTGCCGCGATTCCGGGCGGTGAAGGGTAGGGAGACGAGAATGCCGAAGCCGTAGAAGATCGTGAGCGCTCGCACGGAGAAGTACGGGCCTGTGCGGGAGGGAAGTAGGGTGAGGACGAGTGTTCGGGTGACGGCGGACACGGGGAGTCGGGTGGAGGTGGGTCACCGTCGGAGGAGCAGCCGAGGAGCACTGCAAGTGCGTACTTGGGCAGAAGCCTGAACAGCGCGTTGATGACGTAGTAGCACCGCAAGCCAAGCCACAACCGCTTGAGTGCCGGCCGCTCTGAGAGCCTCATTGACGAGGCGTAGAAGAGGCTATGATAGATGCACAGCACGGCTTCGGTCGTCACCACCGAGAAACGATATGAGGCGCATTGGTCCCAGTTTGCCGCGCGAGCAACGGACAACTCACCGCCAAGTACGTCGTGCAAGCCCACCACGGCTCCGTACAGATTGTACACAACGAGGAAGATGCCAGCACATCTGATGGCAACTCGATCCGTCGGCCGGCACGAGATAAGAACGAGGACTTTGGCCGGAATGGGAACGAGGGCAGTCAGATCCGGTAGGCTTGCTGACGGGTCAACGAGCGAGCACATGTGCACAAAGGGATGTTCGCAGAAGACGTACTGCACCCAGCCGAGGGCAAAGGTACAGACGCTGACGCGCAGCCGGATCCGTGCCTCGACCTGCTGCGCATTCTCAAGAGTTTGTACCATTTGGACATGCCGCGCCGATGCCTCGGTGATGCTCGCCTCGTGCTCAGGAGCAGAGCGCGGGAGGAAGCGTGAGGCGACGCCAAGTATCACGATGGCAATCGGTGCGACCGCAATGGCGGTGAGCAGCAGCCAGTGGAGGGGAAGGAGGGAGGCGAAACAGGAGTGCGGCGCAGTAGGTACAGTAGGTGCCGCCGCGGCATCAAGCGAGGTGGCGCCGGAGAAGTTCAGTGCTGGCAATGCCGCTCGGAGGAAAACAAGGGCCCTTGTCACGCTCGGAGACAAAAAAGAAAATTGTCAAGGGGGGCGGGGGGGGGACTGCGACCCCCAAAGGAGTGCGTGTGTGTGGCAAACAAACAAAGCCCAGCCACCACCAGCCAGCGACGAAAACAAACGGAAGGAAAAGAAATCCCTCGCTGGGGGGGGGTGGGGGGGCTGCTCTGATCAAAGGGGTGCGTGGGTGGCACAGGCAAAGCCCCAGCCAGCGACGGCAAGCAAGCGAGCGCCGGCCGTGACGTGTTCGCCGTGAGCTAAGCCAGGGAAGGCAATGCCGGGGCCGTACAGCAGCTTGATGGTGCTTCGCCGGCGTAGAAGCGGCCGCGGCGGGCTCCGGGTGCCTGAAAAAGACGGATTTACGTGGGCTGTGGGAGATTTACTGTCGACTCAAACGACACTGTGGCGTAATCCTCTCATATATGGCTAAATATTTACCGAGCCGTTTTAAAGTTCCACCGCTACGACTGGAGATATATCGAGATTGGGTCACCATGACCCTTATGGCGCGAAAGGGTTAACGCCTGCGACCAGATCTTGACGGCGCTACACAGGCTCCTGACGGAGGCGGACGGCATCCGCGCGGCACTTGAGCTGGACGAGCAGCTGCCGCTCCTACGTCTGATCGAAGAAGCTGAAGAGATGCTGGAGTTGGAGCCGCTCGAGGGCAGCCTTCAGTCACGGCTTGGTGCCATCCGAGACCTGCTGGCCAACGCCCCGTACTCCCGCTCAGCTCTCGCTGCAGCAGCCTGAGGGTCCGCGTAGCGCGTTATGCTTATGGGTGGTTGCTTTTTTTGTTTAATCTCTTCTTCAACAGGATTATCAACAGGATTACTCTCGTGTTGTTACTTGTTGTGCGCCCCCCGGCGTTGTCGGTTGATAGCTGGGTAGCGGGGGGCCCCGCCGGAGGCTGGTTACTGATTTCTTAGACACTACACGCGAGCCTTGTGAGCAAGCGACGATGCACGGCGCGGTGGCGCTACTGCTCACGCTTGCGGCGCCGCCTACCATTGACTCGACCACCGGCCACGTGACTAGGTTCAGCAACGACTACCGGAGGTTTCTGCATCAGGTCTGGCAAAAATTCGTGCAGTCAACCTCGATCGACACCGGAGGCGCGCCTCTTGCGGATTGGATCGTCATGGGAAACTGGAAGGAGGAGAAGTACGCGATTCTCGCGTTCGAGGAGAATTACGCGTCTGTCATGGACCACTTTTGCGACTCGACCGAGCTGAATGTCTTTCCCAATGTGACTGGCGTGAAGGTTGCTCCTCCGCCGCGGTGGCTTCGGCTAAAGTATGTGGATGGCTGTCCACAGGGCGACCCAAGCTTCGCCCAATCTGGGCATATCATGCTGGCCAATGGGCTGGGCTGCCTTTCAAAAACACGCTGCCTTCCCGCACCGTGGCTCTCCGCCCTGCAGCTGAACTTTGAGCAACAGAGCAAGCACGTGCGCCGGAACGACCTCTTCTTCCCTGCGGACGTGATCACCATCCCGTACGTTGACAAAGTGGGCGAGAGAGTCCTGCCCTACAGCTCGTATCGATTTGGCCTCTATCTGGACTTCCTCATGGACAATCGTGTCCTTACTGACCAGGTGGGCGCCGTTATGATGGAGGTGGGCGCCGGCTGGGGCGGCTTGGCAGCCCTCGTGAAGGGACGGTTTCCGTCCACCCGCTACATCATCCTCGACATCCCGACGTCGACTGTCTTCCAGATGGGGCTGCTGCACCGCCTTGGCTACAAGAAGATCCTGTCGCTCGACGCTGATGCCACCGCAGCCGATGCACAGCATGTGATCTGCTGCGAGGACTTCGACTTCCTCTTCATCGGGCCGACGCAAGTCCACCTTCTCCCGAGCGATGTCGTTGACGTTACAGTCAACTTTGATTCGATGGTCGAGATGCCGGGGCAGACCGTAGCGTTGTACCTCAAGCACATCGCTCGGGTCAGCACACGATTCTACCACATCAACAGGTGCGCGTTGACGCGCTCAAGGCTGGAGCCAAACTTTCGGAAGCACCTTAAGGGCTCTTGGTACATGAAGCACCAAGCCGACGCTCCCTTGCACTGGCGAGCTCCGCCGCGCGGCTCCAAGTTGGCCAATGCGACAAACTTCAAGGAATGCTACGTCGAGCAGTTTTGGTGTCGCACCAAACCAGAGCAGGAACTGCAAACGCTCCCTTAGGGTCTCCAGCGCGTGGGCGGGTGCCCGGCCGTCGGAGAGACCTGCTCGCTAACTAGAGCTCACACTGGGTAGAGCTCAGACACGGCCGTCATCGCATCCCTTCCTGGGACCTAGTGCTGACAATGTCGTACTTTCTCTCCCTCGACTGTGCTTGTGCGTCTTCGACCGGAGTTTTGTTTTTTGCGGTGAATTCCCGCGTCCACTCCACACAATGGCACACCCCATGTCCAGCGAGCCCGAACCCAGCTGTTCTCAGCAACGTTGCTGCGCCGTGTTCGCGCGGTAGAGGCAAATGCCCGCCGTCGAGCTCGTCCGCGCGCTCGAGACGACGCTCAGCGGCGGCCCGCTCGTCGCGGTGCGGGACGGCGCATGGTGCTGCCTGCTCTGCGAACGCCGCTTTGGCTCGGAGCGGCACATCGCGCGCCACCTCAGCCGCAGCAAGTTGCACCGCGACAACTACGCCTCGGGGCTCACCGCACGCCGCATCGGGGAGCCGTCCGCTGGGCTCAAGCGCGCGCGCGACGACGGCCCCGCCTCGACGCACCTCAAGCCGGCGGAGCCCGCCGCGGCCGTTGGCATCGGCATCGGCGCCGGAGGCGGCGGCGGCGTGAGCGCGATCGAGCAGATGGAGATGGTGCAGCAGCGGCTCGCGGCGGCGTCCAAGGCTTCGGCGAAGAAGCCTGCGCGGCGCGAGAGGGAGCGCGACCACCACGAGAGCGAGGTGGACTCGAACAAGGCGCGCTCCATCAACGGCCAGCTCGACTGGGAGTGCTCCGATTGCGGCTCGTTCAACTTTGCGCGGGTCGTCGTGTGCCACACGTGCAACAAGCACGTCGACGGGCAGACGCGGTACCTCAACAACCGGCTGCACGAGCTCAAGCAGGCGCGCTGCCCACGGCCCCGAAACCCGCCCCGACGCCCTCCCTCCCTCGGAAGATAGCCACGCCCGGGCCGCTTGCACAGCCACCTCTGCTCCCCGCCCCGGGCGCAGGAGCGATTCAAGCGCATCTTTGCCGGCGGCTCGGGCGGAGGGGGGCAGAACTCGAACAGCAGCGTCGCCAATCCGGACGGCTCCGTCTCGGGGGGACGCGGCGGCGACCGCGCGGCGTTCCAGAGCTAGGTGGAGAGGCGTGGGGGGGGTGGGGGGGGGGGGGGCAGTCGTTGGTGCGCGAACAAGGACTCTCTTGTTCGCGCACGCATGACATCGGGGCACCTCCAGCCTCCACCATCCGATGGAGGACCATCGATGCGGGTGGGGGTGCTTGCGGTGCACATGGATCATGCCCCTGCGCCACATGCACTCATGCAGCGCAAAAGGATCAAGCTTCAAGGATCATGTACATCACGATAGCAAAATATGGCCGCGGCTTTAACTAGAGTATCTCACAAAAGCCGGATAGAAGAAAATAATAAAGCTCACGGCCGGGCGCGGGGGCGCGACCCCCGACAGGGTCACCGCGCGGCGGATCGCGGTGCACACCCTCACCCACTGCCACACGCGCGCATGCGGCACACTTCCGGGCTCCCGGGCGGGCACACCGCAGCGGCCAGCGCGGCAGCGCGCGCGCAGGGACAAGCAGCCCCACATTATGTGTAAACAGTAAAGTGCAAGTAGCCTAGTGCGCGCGCGCGTGGGCGAGAGCGGCGTCACCTATGTGTCTCTGTGGGGAACGGTGCGGAGGTCCGCGAACCCACCCGGCCGGCCAGCTCTCTCAAGACCGCCAACACGCCCCCAGCCCCCAGCCCTGCCCGCCTCGCGCCGCCGCGCCGTCGCGTTCTCCGGCATCACGCACTTCGCCATCCGCCCGTCGCCGCCGCCGCAGAGGCTGGCCCCGCCCCCCCCAAAGAGGAGCTGCTGCGCCGTCGTCGGCCCGAGCGGCGCGTCGGGCGTGCCATCAAGGTACACCTTCGAGGCGGGCGGACGTCGGCGTTCGGCCAGTTCAGAGTTTCGGACCGTGTCGTCCCGTGTGCCCCCCCCCCCCTCCCCAGAGAGAGAAGTAGCGCGTGTCGCACCTTGAACCACGCGGCCGACGCGAGGGCGAGGAAGGGGTTGTAGTGCATCGAGGGCTCGTGGTGGTCGGCGCCGTCCTGCAGGGAGGCTGCGCTTCTCTCGGGTGTGACCTCGGGTGTGACCTCGGGTGTGATCGGGTGTGATCTCAGGTGTGATCTCGGGTGTGATCTCGGGTGTGATCTCGGGTGCTCAAGCGAAGCACAGTACACTCTCCTTGTTGACGAGGCCACGGCGCGGGTTGGCGCTCGACGCGTCGTACTGGCGCTGCGCGAAGCGCGGCGGCGCCACCGCATCGTGCGTCCCGGTGAAGAGCAGGAAGGGCACGCTCGGTATCGGAGGGTAGCTGTGCGTGTAGGCATGGTGCATCGCCGCCGCCTGCAGCCGGCGCCTCCGGGTGTCAGTCGTCCTCGAGCAGTCAGTCCGCCGGCTGTCTTGCCCTGTGCAGAGCCATGCGCGCGTGCTACGCCCCGCGGCGTGGCTCTGCGGCGCCCGAGTGTGTGCTCCGCGTGCCCCCGACTGATGCGTGCTCTCAACTCACCGCCGCCTGGATCCGGTGCGAGCTGCCGTTGTACGCCGCAGAAAAGATGGTCGCCTGGCCACCCATCGAGTGTCCCGCGACGCCGACGCCCGCGCTGACGTTGATCGGCAGGCCCGCGGCGGCGGCGGCACCGCCCCTCGACCACTCTATCGAGAGAAGCTGCTGCTTGTAGTAGTCGCCTATGTCAGGCGGGTTCCGAGCAGGCTCACGGAAGCAAGCCTGCACGCGCGCACACGAGAGAGCTGGCACGAGTCGCCAAAGCAGGGCGGGTCAAAGGGGAGGGTCTTGCAGTGCGCGCGGTCGTCGCAGCCAAACTGGCACGCGAGGGGCGCGCCCACCACGTAGCCCCACGAGGCGAGGTCGGAGAAGAGGCGCCAGTACGACTGGAAGCCCGTGTCGTCAAACCCGTGCGCGTAGGCAATGTACGGGAAGGTGCGAGTCGAGCCCTCGGGGAGGACAGGGTAGACGACCTACTCACAGCACGACGTGCTGACAGCTGAGAGAACCGCGTGCCTGCAAAGGACGGGTCGGGCAACGTCGATGCGGCGGTTGCTCCGGTCAAAGAGCGGCGAGGTGAAGGAGCGGTGCGCGACCGGGTAAGGCCCGCGCGGAGAGGACGGCAGCAGCGGCGGCGAGGGCGGCAGCAGCGACGACGGCGACGGCGGCGGTGGACGAGGAGGAGGAGGAGCAACGTCCATTATCCGTCGGAAGAGACAGGGAGTTTCTTCTTTTTGTCCCAGTTCATCTCCTTGAGAGAGGACGCCCGCCAGAAAAACGGTATGGCGGGTGGTGTGCTCTCTACTGCCGCGGCGCCCCTCTCGGTTCGGAGGCGCCCGGCGGCCGCGCTTGGTGCCGACGTCGACCGGCTGCTCTCGCGGCGCCGAGGCGTGCCGCTTCGGTCACGTCACGCGCGCTGCGAGGTGTCTTTTGGCATGTGAGCGCTTGGCATAGACGCCAGGAAGCTCGCCTTCCTTGCCTGCGGCCGCGGGCGAGCGGGCGGGCACGCCAGGCTCGGCGACGCTCCGCGCGGGTCTTCGAGCTCGACCCGCGACGAGCCAGCATGGCTCGTCGCTCGACGGGAGCCTGCCGAGCATGCTCTCGGCACTCTGTACAGCCTCGATAAGCTGTCTGGGGAGGCCTACAGGGCCAGAGCGGACCGCCTCGGGCGCGATGGCGCGCTGAATAGTACCATGACTACGAGATCTCGATCGGGTCGCCGGCAGCGGGATCGCGCGACGTGCTGCTCGACGGCAGGCCGCTCCCCACCCTTTCAACAGTGTCTTTTACATCGCTTCTCTCGCTGCAACCGCCTGCGGGGGCCTGCGCCGACCGCCTCGCTTCGCCAGCGCTGCCTATGACCTGCCTATGACTGCGGCACGCACGTCGGCTCGCCGCCCGCGTCGCCCGCGGCGGGCCCGCATGGCGCGCCGCTCGTCGGGGGAGTGCCGAGGAGGTTGTGGAGTACAGGCTGCCTCGCTCAGACCGCCGAGGCCGCGGTCGGCGCTGCTGCGGGGCGCTGTGGGCTTCACCATCGTGTCCTGAGTGCGAAAAACTCGGACCCACGAAGACAAGGAGCGCGCGCCAATGGCCGCCTCCGTGACACTCCCACCTCCTGGGCCGGCGCGGGAGTTTTACTGCCGAGTTTCTCCCGGCCGGCCGCCTCCTGACACGCCCACTGACCGAGCCCATCGAAAAAAATTCGGCGCGCCGCACTGCTCTGACCCCTGCTCGCCCCTGCTCGCCCCTGCTCGCCACTGTCGCCTCGGTTGCCGAGGCTGCCGCGCACCCGCGCGCTACGCGACTACGAGTGGGGTGGACATACACACATATATGTATACATTTTAGGTGTATTGTTGGCACATTATATATGTTTATCGCGAGTAAAAGAATTTTACGAAACTCCCTCGCACGACACTAGGCACGGGACTGGCGCGCACTGGCACTAACACGAGTAAAAGAATTTAAGCTTTTACTTGAGAGGAAAAGAAAAACCCCGAGCTGCGCGCGGAGGACGCTTTGCCCGGCAGTGTTGATTGAGGGCCTCACTGTGGTACTCTCCGGCCGACACGTTCACGACGCGCTCGCCGCCCAGCCCTTGCCTCACCCCATGCTGGCCGACGCTGGCTGGCGACTCGAGTCCGACACCTGGAGCTCAAGAGTGCTGCGCTTTTTTGGCTGTCACTCCTTTGGCGAGGCGACGGCACTCGGCAGCGAGTCGGTCTCATCTTCCCTACGGCGGAACGACGCATCCTTCCTTCGACCAACCGAGCCGAGGATTCGAGGCCACCGCTTCTCTGGCAGCCGCACATCTTCCTATTCCGCGCCTCCGCCTGCGGCTCTCCCACAGTCTCCGAGAGACTCCAGGGAGTCGACTGCTGACGACGAGGTGCCAGCTGCGCCGCCCGTGCCACCGCCGGATGCGCCACGAGTCCTACTCCTTGACCCCGGGTCTGGCGACGCGTGCGAGGCGCTGCAAGGCTGCTTCCGGGTGTACCTGGCCGTCGATCCGTCGTACGACATCCAGGCGGCCGCACTCCCGCGCCCACCGCACTCCCTCTCCCGCCGCACCTCGGTGTCTCACGCATGCACTTCCACACCGCCGCAACAGACACGGGCGACGGTGCCGCCAGTCCCGCCCCGGCTGCCGCCCCAACCCTAGAGACCTCGAGACTGGTGTACGCCTGAGCTAGGTCAAGCGGTACCCGCCCAACTGGAGGTCGATGCGAGGGGTTCCACTCACCGAAGCTGCCGCCGCCGCGGCTGCAGCCGCCGTCGCCGCGACAGCCGCCAAGCAGAAGCACGCCTCCGCCTGGCCAGGTGGGAGAGGGGAGAGGGCGAGGAGACTCGGGAGGGGGGAGGGGTCCTTGTCGCGCACTCTCGCTCACGCTCTCCCTCGCCCTCCCTCCCTCTTCCTCACCCTCCCTCCCCGCCCTCCCTCCCTCCCTCCCTCCCTCCCCTCCCCTCCCTCCCTCCCCCCCTCCCCTCCCCTCCCCTCCCTCCCTCCCTCCCTCCCTCCTTCCCTCCCTCCCTCCTCCCTCCCTCTCTATACCAACGCG